CGATTATCTTACCGTATTTCTTAAAAGTTAACTAATTAGGAGGAATAATAACAAAATTTGAGTAAATTACAAGAGTTTTTCTAATCATTTGTTAAAGTAGAGTGGATATTTAAAGGTGTGCTTAATTTTGAAAAAACTAAAAATATCAAAAATGATTTGAATGAAATGAAACCAGTCAATCATTGTAAAGATGTCTAAGAATTAACTTGTTAGACTGCAGAATAAGTAAAATATATATAATTATTCAAAGTTATTATCATTACTTTAAAAATAAGAACCTTATAAACCTTAAGTTTAATGGGGTGTTGTTATACCACAAAAATTTGGTGAAATAATTAGCAAAAATTTTAGACAACATGATAATGATAAATAAAAAAGTAGTAAAAGTAGAAGTCGTCATAAGGAAAAAGATAAAGAAAAAGAAAAAGATAAAGATAGAAGAAAATCAAGCAAAGATAGAGGTAAAGATAAAAAAAGTTATGATCGTAAAAGTAGGGAAAGAAGGAGTAAAGATAGAAGAAGCAAAGAAAGAAGTTAAAGAAGAAGCAAAGATAAAAAAAAAAAAAGCAATGAAAAAAAAGATAACAGAGAAGATATAAAAAGCCAAAATTTATCAGAGTTTGTTGTATATGATAGTATTCTAATACATAATAGATAATAGATAAGGATTAAAGAGAAAAAGAAAGACAGACAAGAGAAAAAGAATACTAGAAAGAAAAAGATTAACGAGAGCAAAGAGAAAGAGAGAGAGCAAAGGAATAAATAGAATAGAGAGAAAGAGACAGAGAAAAAGAGTAACGTTAATAAAAAGAATAAGAAAAGAGAGATAGAGAAGAAAAGGAAATGTTAGAAAAATTAAAGCTAAAAGAGAAAGAAAAGGAAAAGGAAAAAGATAGAGAAAAAGATAGAGATAGAGAAAAAGAAAAAGAAAAGGAAAAAGAAAAAGAGAGGGAAAACAACAAAGACAGAGAAAAAGATAGATAAAGAGATAAAGACAAAGATAATAATAGAGATAGAGAAAAATTTGATAAAAGCAAATATGATAAAAAAGATGATCATAGATAAAAAGATAGGAATGACTCTAAATATGATTATGATAGAAAGCAAAAAGATAAAGAGAGAGAAAGAGATAAAAATAGAGAAAAGTCCAAAGAGAAATCTTTTGAAAGATCGGATAGAAAGGATAGAGAGAAAAAGAAAGATAAAGATAGATCGAGAGGTGGTGACAAAGATAGAGATAGAGATTACAATAATAAGAAAAATAAAGATTATAGAAGAGAAACAACTAAAAAGAGAAGTGAGGAGAGATCTAAACCTCGATCTAGAAGTGAAGACAGAAGATAAGGTCATAACTCAAATAAAAATAAGAAGACCTTTGATTTAGCTTCATAAAGCGAATAACCAAGAGAAAACTAGTACCAAAAAATTAATAAAATAGTTCATCTGTGTCATTATCTTCCCATAAATAAGTGTAAGAGCAACAAGATCTTGAATTAGAATAAACATCAATTAGACCAGAATAGAAGGACCAAGTAGATCTTGGAGTTATTTTGAATGTTTTGGATTCCCCAATAAAAAATACCTAATAATTTTAACCTTTGATTTAACCTGTTATAATTACACAAGCTGAATAATTAGTATTAACAAAACAGAGTGAATCACAATAATCAAATATTCTAAATAGTGATTCTAAAAAAAGGATATTATTAGTAAATTAAGAAAAAAGCTAAAGTATGCCAGATAGTGTTGAATAGTAAAAATAATTAAATCCAGGTTCTATGAAGATCATAAAAGATGCTCCATCAAAAAGTATATAATAAATAACGAATCAACAAAGTTAAGCAAAAAAGTCAGTGGTAATTTAAGACTAAAAATAAGTATTCATTATTATATATACAAAAGAGTAGTGGAAGTTAAATTAGGGATAGGATAATACTTAAAAATAAATGAGATTAATTTAACATTCAAGCAATAACTTATTTTTACATATATCTTAATTATTTATTTATATCATATTATATCAGATTGGTTATCTTGTATATTTTTAAAGTTTTATTAATTTATATAAACTCTAACTACAACTCAATAATTTAATCAATATGAAGGAAAGCAAACTTACAGAATTCTACTTTGAGGATGATACCAAATCTAGATAATTACCTCAACCAATAGATCATATTAACAAAAGTTACTCTTTAGAAAATGATATGGTTTTAGGATGGGTTCCTACATAATAATAGGAAGAAATGATAAGTGTATAGTTCTATAATGAATTGAATGATCATCTAATTGAATTTTACAATTAAAATGATCCAAATAAGATAGTTTATTTAGGTTATAGGCCAAATGAAGCAATGCAATTTCATAAATAATTCTCAGCATAATCTAATTATAAAATGAAAAATAGTAAAAATTATAAAGTCAAATAATCTCAAAATTAATAGTTATTTGTAGGAATGAATCCAAATTTTGAATACGATATAAAATTTAATTCATAATTTGAAAGTGGGAACTTAGATCTAGCAATTTAGAAATCTGAATTAGAATATGATTTATACATGAGAGTTGATACAAATACTAAAGGTCATACACTTTGGTATTACTTTGAAGTTACAGGTTTAAAAAATATTGAATCAATTAAATTTAACATTTGTAATTTTCGTAAAAAAAGGTGTTTATATGAACGTGGAATGAAACCTTATATATAAAGAGATTCTTAAGATTGGTAATAAGAGGGAGAAAATGTGAAATATGGGGCATATAAATGTTAATTTAAAGAAATTTAAAAATAATATTATTGTTTGACATTTACTATAATGAATAAAAAAAAGGATGATAAAATAAGAATAGCCTATTGCATTCCATACACATTTAGTAAATTAAATAATTTTTTAAAATCCTTAAATTCTTAATATATGGAATAATCATTTTTTTGTTATTCTTTAAGTGGAGTATAAATTCCTAAATTAACTTTCTCTAAAGGAAATATCTTAAAGAAAAAAATAGTTGTAATCTAAGCACGAATTCATCCTGGAGAATCAAATTCATCATGGGTTATGTAGGGTTTGTTAGAATATTTGAGTTCAAGTTAAGCAGAAAAATTATTAGATTAGTAAGTAATAAAATAATTATAAGATTAATTTTTGTGATAGTCCCTATGATGAATGTTGATGGAGTAATATTTGGTAATTATAGGACAGGTTGTGCAGGGAGAGACTTGAATAGATAATTTAGAGATAGTTGTAAGAAATTATATCCAACAGTTTATGCAATGAAATAATTGATATCTGATTTGTATTAAGTATATGGAGATCAAATTGTTGGTTTCATAGATATTCATGGACACTCAGGTATGATATTTCCATTTTATTAGAGCCAAAAAGAATGCATTTCTTTATGGACCCGAATTTCAATTGTGGAATTGCAATTATTATAAATCAAGATTATTTGCTAAAATTTTATCTCTCAAAACTCAAATTTTTCGTTATTATTCATGTCTATTTAGAATAAATAAATGTAAAGTGAATACTGCAAGAGCTGTCTTTTGTGAGAAATATGATTTTGTTAATTGTTTTACATTAGAAGTATCTAACAGTAGTTATTATTATGAATAAAATACAGAGAATTTCACTGAATAGAAATGGATTTAGTTTGGGTAAATATTTGGAGAATCATTTAATGATTTTATAATTCATTTTTAAGAAATAGATACATTATTTTGTGATTTTAAGGATAAGAAAGTTTGTAAATAAACAAAAAAAAAATATAATAATCAAATAAATGAAGAAAAATAATTGAATCTTTAAAAGATTTGTTAAAATTCAAAATATTCTGAATTATTTGATGAAATGAAAAATGATGAACCAAATTTATCATTTTCAGAGGGAGAGTCTGATAGTGAAAGAGAATCTGATGATTTGGATGATGAAATTTTGAATAATGTAGTATTGACTTCAAATAAATAAAAAAAAATTAAAAAATCTAAAAAATCTTTAAAAGTAAATGATTATAAAAAACAATCTATCAGGAGTGAAAATAATTCAGCAATACACAATCATACAGTGTTTTTAAGTAAAAAATAATTTTTAGAAGATCAACCAAATAATATCTTTCAATAAACATAAAATTAAAACATTTATAGGAGAACAAGTTATAAATAATATAAATAAGAAGATAAAATTAAAGATAATTAAACTTTTACTTTAACAAGCAAAAATTCTATGGAATCTAGTAATATAAAAACATTTAGAGCATCATATATTAGTGGAATTTAACCAAAAATTGAATAAATGAGTACTCAGAATAGAAATAAATCTCCTATCAAATTAAAAACATTAATACATGAAGCTAAATTAAGAGGTTAATCTGAATTGAATTGTGAAATTAATGAAGAAAATATGGCTGATCAAATTTTTGAACCTTATATTAAAAGACCATAGTTTAATTAAACAAATAATAAAAATATTAAATTTGGAAATATCTGCTCTCCTACTAAAGACTTCGTTTTTTTAAATGAATTAAATACAAAAATAATGTAAAATACTCATTTTCCTACAGATTAAGGTTGTACTTATAATGTTACAGCTATCTATCATGGAATAAATAAACATTAAAAAAAACCCAATAATTATAAGTTTAATAAAATGCAAAAATTTTAGAAAACATAAAATCCCTCAATTAATTTAAGAAATACTTTATAAGTATAAAAATTAGGAACAACAGAAGATTCTTTTGGAATTATAATAAAACCTAAGCTTTTTTCATCACCATAGATTGATGAAGCATTAGGTTAAACAGAATAATCTAAAAGTGCAATGAATTAATATTAGAATTCTTCAATAAGTTAAAAACCATAAAAACAATTGGTTCCATCTTCATTTTATTCAATTAAAAAACATTGGACCAATACAAGAGGTATTCAATAATACCTTAATTTTAATAATTGAAAATGAAGTAAAACTTTTTGTTTATAATATAAATTTTGATATATATTAATTGGGTCACACTTTAGAAAAAAACTTTTTTTCCTAATTAATTCTTTCTAAAGAGAGTTTTTGTCCTGTAGCCTTATAAAAATTTGATTTCTAATTTAACATTTAACGAGATCGAGGATTATTTTTAACTGATTAAATCAATGGAATAATATCCTGAGATTTTGCAGATCTAAATTAATTTAAATTCATACCTTCCTTAACTATGATATGATGCAACACATGGAGTATTAGGTTATATATTTGTATGTTAAATCCATTCTTTATAGATAGATTTTGTTTATGCTTCTTAAGGTGATTCATAAAAAAAAGAGGAACCAAATATTACTGGTAAATTCATTGATTTACCTTAAGCAATTTTTTTTCTAAAATCTTATTCTCCTCTTTAAGATTCCTTTTCATCTAAATTCATTTTTAAAGGATCAGGTTTAAATGGAGGTTTAACTTTTTTAAGTGCTAATTATTTAAAATCAATTTAAGAGAAAAAAGGATGTTTTAAAATTTCCTAAACACCTCCATTTGCACCTAATCTCTAGATTGGATCTTTTTCAAGTAGTGCAACCAATAAATTTTTGACTTCTTTAGATAATGTTAACTAAGAGAAATTAAAAATATGATACATCATTTGGAAATGACAATTTAGAATATAAAATATCTTAATAGATTTGATTAGTATTTGTTGAATAGTAGGGAGGTAATCCAGTAAGCAATTCATATAATAATGCTCCTAAACAATAAAAATCTACTGTTTATGAATGTCCTAGTTTTAACAACATTTCTGGTGCCATGTATTCAGGAGATCCACAAAAACTGTATGCTTTTTCTTCTCTTCCAATTTCAGGTTTACTTAAACCAAAATCTGCTATTCTAACATGACCTTCTATATCCATTAAAATATTTTCTGGTTTTATGTCTCTATATAATATATTTAAAGAATGTATCTCTTATAAACCCTAAGAATAAGAATTAATTTATATACCAAACAAATTTCTGATATGTAAAAACATGCTTAATCTTCACTCATTCTTTTAATCTATTTAAGTTGAAAAAAGAGTTCTCCTCCTTGACAGAATTCCAATACAAAAACAACAAATTATCTAGATTCAAATGCATATGATAAATGTAATAAAAATGGACTATTGAGTAATGTCATTATATTTCTTTCATTTAAAACAATTTACTATTTCTTTTTTGCAATAATAAATTCTTTATCAATTAATTTTAATGCATAGAATTTTCCAGTATCCTTTTTTCTAACAAGATACACTAAAGAAAAGCCTCCTACACCAATATTTTTTAAAAATATAAAGTCTTTAAGACCAACTTTTGGATCAGGTGATGCTTATAATAAGAATGCTTCTAATTTCAATCCTGAATTCATAAAAACATTAAATGATAAGTCTGGTTAAGCAATATAATAATCTATAGAGATTGAATGTTATTAAGATACAAAACTAACTATTTAATTAACTGATGGTTTATCTTTTAAATTAGCATAACATTCTTATGGATTAGCAAATTCTAAATCATGTAATCTTTGTAAAATTTGAAACCAAATTTATTTCATATTAAGACTAAAGAAATATTACTATAGACTTACTGAGATTCAAAATAAAAATAAAAATCTTAATTTCCAAATTTAACAACAACATTATGATGTTTGATTTATTACATTTATTCATCTGGACCTAAACTTTTAGCTTTGCTTAATATTGATGCAGGATTTCCCATATCAGTTTTGATAGTTCTTTTTACTGATTCCATTGCTTCTATTGTAACAGATTATGCAGAACGCTTTTATTATACACCTTAATTGTTAACGAAATTTGCATTAATGAAGAACTTATTTTATTAAGCAATAGAGTTCTATGAAGATCTTTGTGTCTATTTGCTCAATTATTATTTCATTCGTATATCATTCTTTTTCTGTTTATATAAGTAAAACTTTTCTAATGCATTATCTGGTATTTAATCTATTGATTGTTATTTATTTTATGAGGTTTTCCGATGACTAGGAGTTGTATGTAATTGATTCATTTAGCTTTTTCTAGAGAATGAATCTTATGATCCTATTCTTAATACACCTTGATGTTGCATGTTAAATTTTGTAGTTTAATTTAATATAATTTAGTAAATACAATATAATAAAATCGATTATTTTCAATACTTGTAAAGAGAATTTTCAAATATTTTTATAAAATTTGAGTAATTATTTTATATACAATCTCTATTTTAAGAATTAAGTGATCTCTGTTTTAAACACATTAATATTTACATTAAATAATGTATCTAAATTTATAACATTTCATTATGTAATCGAACATTAAGATATTAATAAATATTAATCATAAACACTCTAAAAATTGATAATTTAATTATGAACAAAATACTTAATTTACTTTTGAGGACTTTCAAAGCATCATTAAAACAATAATAGAGACTTTAATAGTTGTTTGATGAATAGTTTGATATGATGTTTTTTCTATTACTAGTTAATGGGGTATATCTTATTTAATTATTATATAATAACAATTCAGCAATCGGATATCTGCTGTTTATTTGGTAAAGAGGACAAACTATCCATAGATCTATTTGTGGAACCTTAAGCTAAGAATTCATCAGCCATCTTATTCCAGAAGCAAGCCGATTTTATTACTACTCTATCTACTATTGATATTTTTTTTGGAATAATAAGGATTGAGTTTTGATCTCTAATTGTTGTATGAAGTCTTTGTTACCAGAAGTTCAAAGAATTTTCTATAATATTATCCATAGATTCAATTAATTTCTATATTTATATTATTATTATTAATACCTGATGTGTTAAAACAATATGAGTAATAAATATTCTAGAAGGGACCAGAATTTTTAAAGAAACTTATAAAACTAAGAATATGATTTTAATCTAATTTTATTTCTATTGGTTGTATACTGAATTTGTCTTTATTATTTCTAATATTTAAATAATAATAAATATTTATTTTTATTATATATTATGATAATTATGAGACAATTGATTAAGTGAAATTCATGATTTTTGATATAAACTTTTCTCTCAATTTTTAAATGAGTAATTTTAAATATATTATATATTATATTTTATATAATTAACAATGGAATAATAACCCCTAAGCAATAATAGAGTAAAAACTCATGTTAGTTTACAATTAGTAAAATATTGAAGAGGATTAATTAACTTAAAAAAGAGAATTGACATCATATGAGTCTTGCCTTGATTGTTGTGGAAATGTATCTGGATGTTTGAGAGTATTACCAAACAATTAATTTAAGGCTTGGCTTCCTTGTATATTTTGTTGTTGTGAAAATCCATTCTATGCAGTCTAACAGAGTTCTTTGGGATTAGTTGAGAAGTTTGGAAAATATCATAGGAGTTTACCACCAGGTCTAAATTAAATCAATCCTTGCACTGTAATTTTTTGTCATTTATTATGAAAGGATACTGTTATACAAGTAGATTTAAGAACAAGAGTATTGGATTTAGATAGATAGATTATTCTAACAAAGGATAATATTTAAGTTAATATAGATACATGCATGTATTTTAGAATTATTGGTAGGTAACTGTAATTCCAACATTTTATATAGATCCAGTAAGAGCAACTTATAGAGTTTCAAGATTGACATAATCTGTTAAAGATATGACATATGCAGCATTGAGATAAGTTTGTGGAGAACATCAATTACAAGATCTCTTGGAACATAGAGAATTAGTCTAAGATTCAATTGAAGCTTACTTAGATAAATAAACAGAATAATGGGGAATATATATTGAAGAAGTTTTCATTAAAGATATGGTACTAACTCCATAGATGTAATCTGATTTGGCAGCTGCAGCAAAAAATAAAAGAATAGCTTAAGCAAAAGTTATTTCTGCATAGGCTGATGTTGAAAGTGCTAAATTGATGAAAGAAGCTGCTCAAGCCCTTGATAGTAAGGCTGCAATGTAGATAAGATTTTTGGAGACACTTCAACTTTTAGCCAAAGGACCATCATAAAAATTAATGTTCTTACCTTTAAGTCCAGAATCTTAAGGAGCACATAATGGATGAGACTATTTTATTATTATAATAAGATAGATATATAATTCAAACTTTAAAATCTTATGGAGATATCCATTTTACTTTTTCAATCATTCTAAATTGATGTTATGGTACTGATTAATTTCTACTGATATATGTTGTAATCAAATTAGATTATGCAGGAGTGCCACAACGAAATTGTTTAGTTCCTATAATTTTTTTGTTTTTCTCTCTTTCCTCTTCTAATTCAAGTTATTTCTATGTTTTATAAATATTATCAAATTATGTTTCAATTTGCAAAGGATTTTAGAATGGTTTTCTTAAATTTAACTTTTAATTCCAACATTCTTTTGAATTATGATTAGATAATTTCATTCCCCTATTTTAAGATAAAAATCCAGGGACCCACATTTATTTATTATTTGATTCAACTAAAGAATCATCAATTGATGGATGTAGTAATTTCATTATTTCACCAGATGTTTTATGAAATTATGGTTTTTATTCTATTTGATCATCAAATTAAGTTAATGTTTAACCTTTTAAAGGGGAATTTAAACCATTTTAAGTATTAGTAAATGAAACAAATTTTCGAGATTGATTATTAGAAGTTCTAGCAGTTTATCTATATGAATTATCATTCTAAATAAATTAATATATATCTATACTGATAATATTTTATCTAATTCTTTACTTGGCAATTTTTAAATTTGTTATTTGAATCTTCTCTTTCCTATTGCATTATTTACAACAACATCTAATTTATCAGATTTCTTAGCAGCATAACCAGCATGATGAAATTCAGTAATCACATTAAATTTTATTGTTTTTTAATGAGCTTAATATTTATTTTTACTCATATGTTCAAGAAATATATCCATAGCATTATCATTTTATTTTATAGATGCAATTTCTATTGGTATTGAATGAGCTTAACCTGAACATAATTTAGTTAATTGATATCCCATTAAATTTTTTAATACAACTGTTGTATCTTTGTATTTTCTTTTTATAGCAAATTATGTCCCTATAATATTATCAGATATCTATATTATTAATGGTCCTATAATTAATAATATAAATATATATATACCTTTCGTACAATCAGCCAAAGTTTAAAAAGTTTTCTTAGGATTTACAAAATTGAATGGATGCACATCCCATGAATTTTTATAAGGTACAACAAATTCAAATGGTACATCATTAAATAAGAAATGATGTATTTGATTTTTTCTTAAAGAACAAACAATTTCATTCTCTTTAGACACATATAAGGCATCTAATTCTTTCATTCCTTTAACCTTATATTGAGGTGCTTTCATAATATATTTACCAATTGTTTTAAATTCCTCAGCAGCTTTTCTAAAATGAATTCCAGCATTTCCTTTACTCACCCATTCACCTGTATCATAATTAAATCCATATAAATCTCCTGTTACATTGTCAAGAAAGAAATCTGTCTATTTAATATCAGTTAAATCTTTTTTGATCTTCGATAAATCCCCCAATTATCCTCCATTTAATCCATTGATAACGCTTATTTACTAGTAAATAAAATTATTAATACACACTCAACATTTGATGCTATTAAGAAAACTAAACCTTACATGGCAAATGATGATGCAAAAAGGATCTTGTTACTTCTAAGACACATCCTTAATAAAATTAAATACTAATTGATATTGAATTTAATACTTTATATGCATTTGGAGACCATGGTCTAAGATTTGCATCTCCTTCAAAAAATATAATATCTATTGAATCAAACATTTTGCCACATTCAACTCTCACAAAAGAACTATCTATTTCATACAATAAATCATCAATAGAATCTCTGTCACGAATAATGAAATCAATTTCAGTATCTATCATCTCTTTTTTACTAAGCAAAGCTTCTTTGATTATCAATTTGTATTGCTCAAAGTTTTTCATTCCTTTGTAACTCTTTCCATAACCATTAATGATTAGAATTTTCATTTAATTAATTATATATTTCTATATATATATTTAGTTTGAGAAATTCTCATATGAATAAACATGAAATTCCTATTATATCTATATAAAGTAGACAATAAATCTTAATTAATTGTAAAGTGTTTTTGAATATTGGAAAATTATTTATAATAAATTTGATTATGTAATCATTAGATGGTTCTTCGAGAGGTATATAATACTAATTACTAAGATATCATTAATTCGATCGATTCTGCCAATAAAATCACAGCAAAATAGTTTATGAAGTAAAACTACACTGACACAGAGGCTAGAATCAAAATCAATAAATTACATGATTAACCTCAAGAAGAAATATTGAATCAATCCTAAATAGATTTACAAGGAAAGTAAATTACAATCAAATCTACACTAACTATTAATGCACTCTATGAGAAGACCAAATTTTAAGTAAACCATAATTTAGAATATTTATAGATTATTATTGAATCATTTCTTTATGGTTTTGCTAATTTCCCTTTGCTATATTACATAATTTTACTAATTGCTTCTATTAATTATGAAGTCATTGGTTTTTATAATCAATTATATATGGGATTGTAAATAGTTTTCTGCTTTTTAATATCATTTTATGATACTTTTATGAATAAAATAAATCTCTATAGATCAATAGAATAAGCTGATTAATAATAAATATTTGTTTATATTGAAGATGAATTTAGAGAATGTAGTCTAGGTCAATTACAACCAGGTCATTTAATTAAACTCTTACCAAAATAGAAATGCCCCGCAGATGGAATAATAGTAGGGACTAGTGGGGTTTCTGAAAATATACCAATATTAGAAATTGGAGGTTAGACAATCACTCGTAAAGCAGGGGTTGCAAACTTTAGTGTTGGAAGATAACTAGAAGGCAAATTAGAATTCGATTCTGAAGATAAGAAGGTTAGAGTTACTTTAAAAATGGAAACAGCCTAATTCAGTCATGATTTCTAGTATGTGAATTTCAATATATTTTTAGACAATAAAATAAAATAAGAATTTTATAAGCCAATAATTCATTTGATGAAATCTATATCCTAGTAACTGGTTAAACATTGTAAGAACAAAAAGAAATATAAAGTTCTGCCTATGAAAAAACAAAAATTAATCCAAAATTAGGATTTTCTTTACATATTCAAAACATTATCATAATTATATTTACACTTCTATTATCTGTAACTTTATTAGCTGCTCACTTTATACAAACTAAATATATGTATCTAGATGATAAAGTGAATGAAGGATAGATGAAAACTTTCTTATAATTTTTATGCACTTTCAGTTGGGGAATTCCCATTATGTAGATTCCATTAATATTAATAATTAATAGAATTTCTAAATTCTAAGCTGAGCATGATCGTTTAATAGAGTAAAAGAAATTATTAATTTTTTTATAGTGTTGATATTTCTGGAAAGAAAGTTGAAATTATAAATAGTAATGCCTTAGCTAATATGGCTAGAGCCAAATATATATTGACTGATTTAAATCTATTAACTAGACAAAGTTTAGTAGTCAATAACATCTTATTAAATAAATAATCTGATGAAATCAACCTTAATGATTTAGTAACAGTGACCCCTATTGAAGATATTGATGATTTAATTTTCTGCTAATAAGAAATTAAATTTGCACTCTTAGCTTTTCAAACTTCCTAAAAAAGTGAAGAGGATATTGCTACTTAAAAAAGAATTTTGGAATATGGATTATCTTTAGGAATCAATGGAAATCTAAGAATAATTTAAGATTAAGAATAAAATTAATAATATTTTTAAAAAAAATTTGAAGTAGTGACTTCCAAATATCTTTTAGTTGGTTATGAATAAATTCTAAAAGAAGTATATTTATATTTAATATATTTATAGGATAACAAATAGTATCTTATTGTCTTTAGATAAAAATTTATTGATTGTAAAGAACTATTAACATCTGAAATATAATTGTAAATTACTAGTTTATTAGATGCTAAAGATAATCTTAATTAAATGAATATAGTGTTTAGAAAGATTGTTTCAATGCAATATATAGATAAAATAACAAATATGGTTAATTAACAAAAAAAAATTGATGATGAAACTTTAAAATAAATTAAATCAGATGTTGAACCTGTTTTATTCATTGAAATAATTGAAGATTTTTATGATTGTTCTTAAGAAATCATGGATATTAGATAATGTGAATATAAAATATGGATTAACTCTCATATCAAAGATGTATATTGATTTTAATAATTATTAGCCATAAATCTTAGAGAATGATCCAACTATGGCAGGATTATTTGAATAAACTGCTCCTTAGATTATGATATGTTAAAATGGAGATGAACTTTAAGTAGCACTTGATTAAATTGAAAAAAACAGTGTATATTGATTATAGTAAATTAGTAAATCAAAAATGTTGGTAAAGAACTTAACTTATATATTAATGATAGACCTATTTTACTTATTATAGATGATGCAACTTTATAAACTGGATTAAAGAATCAATTACTTAATGAGAAATTTAAAAGTTTCTTTCTAAAAATACCTCTTGTTATAATACTCAATTCTAAACCACATCTAAATTATTTGTTATAATCAATCATAAAATCACACGAATTAATTTGCATTACTAATTATATCACTTCAACTCCATCTATGTAGATTTATTTAGAAAATCAAACAGAAACAGCATTTGATATTAAAATGCCAACTTTTAGTTTTTTACCCAAAATTTTAATTGTTCATGGAAGATTAAATAATATTCGATAAGGTTCAGCAATCTCGCTGATCAATTATTTATCTTTTATTTTGTTTTTTATTTAATTTGTCTATTCATGTTACAACAGATTTTCCTAAAACTATTTGTTAAATGAATTTATACTCTTTATAATGATGTTCTTTACTATTTGTTATATTTTCATATTCTTTAGCATGGCTCAGGTATACAATTATTTAACAATTATAGGATTTCCCTTTTGAAATCTTAAGAAATCAACCAGTATATCATTTAATGGTGAGAACACCTAAGAATCCCTATAAATTATTGATAACTCAATTTATTTAAGGAGGATTTCATGGTACTTTTATTGTCATATCAATAATTTATACATTTTATGGTTCAAATGATTAAAATGGATATGTTCATGGCTATTAATTACAATAATTTATGACATTTACAATAAGTTTATTAGTAATAGCCTTTAAGCCCATAGTAGATTAATATAAAATTGTAAAATCATAAATGTAATAAATTCTTTAATATTTAGATATTTAGCAATGGCATATATATTTGTTACAGTGATGATTATTTATAAGAATAATGAATAAATGGCTGATTTATTTGAAACAGGTGTAAAGACTAAAGATTTATGTGCTCTTGTGTTTTATCCTATTTGTGCTTTAAGTCCAAATCTAATTGGATAGTTTATTTTAAGATTATTATAGACAAATGACTTAAATTTAAGTCTTTACAAAATGGAATAGAAAGTAAAATTCTAATATCTTATAAAAAGCATGAAGAAGAGTCTGAGAATCAAAAATTAAGAGATGCCAAAAATTATATAAGATTATATTAAAAAGAAGAATTAGAATAATAAGAAGACATAGTAAATTCGAAGAAAGTACTTTGAATTTATTTTAATATTTTGTTTATTCAGTATTTAAATTTTAAAAGATATATATAATAATATTTGGTTACATAACAAAATTCATAATTCATTAATCATTTTCCTTACATCAGCATGACTTAATTTTTTTGAGCTTGTCAATAATTTGGCTAGAACCATGACATTTTCATAATGAGTAAATGAAAAATCTGTACTTTTGTTTTTAACAAATCTATTAGCCCATGTATCAAATAATGTTAATACATCTTGTGCATTGTTAGCCATCACAAAAGTCTTTGCATAATGATTTCTATTTTTTGGTTCTCCTGGAAAAGCAATTACTAGATGTAATAAAATTATTCCTATAGCATAAAATTCATCTGCCATGCCATAATGAGAATCCTTAACATAATTAGCAGTTTAATATCCACAAGTTCCTGTTGTAATGGTATTTTAAGATGTAATAGAATTGAGTTCTTCTTAAGGAAGTCTTTCATCAGTCATTGTGGATAGTTTTTCTTCTCTTACATCTTTTCCCTAATCAAAATCTGCTAAAACAACCTAACCAGTTAATTTGTAACATATTTTACTTATAAATCACCTTTAATATTGATAGTCACAAAAATATTTTCAGGTTTTAAATCTCTATGTATAATACCTCTTTAATGAATGTATTCTAAACCATCTAATATTTGATTTAGAATAGATTTAATTTTATTAATTTTTTCAGAATTTTGCATAACATTTAAATAATAATAAGAAAATGTAAGCAAGTCTGTTGGTTGATATTTATATCCAGGAAATGAACAATATTCAAGTTACATATATAAATAATAACCATCATTTGTTTATTCAATCCACCATGCAAAAAGTCTGAAATTATTAATAAATTAATATACCTCAAGATATTTGGATGAGTTAATTTAGATAGTATTTTAGCTTCTCTAATTTTTCGAATATCTGGTGTTATTGAGGAATTTGATGCAGTTGTAGAAAATACAGAAAAAAAATCAAGTTAAGTTGCTTATAATTTGCTCTAAAATATAAATTAGAATATTTTTTACTCGTTTTAAAGCATATATTTAATCATCTTCAGGTCTATATACAAAAAAGATTGATATTCCATTTCTTAATTCATCCTGATTAGTTTAAGAAAGTATTATATAATCATTAAAAAATTTGTTATTTTTGATAAATGCATTTCTTGGATCATATATTTTTTATGCTGGTATGATTTATTAAAAAGAATCTATTGCAAAGAATGTTAATGTAATTTTAAGTGGGATCTTTTTAAATTATAAATTAATCTTCTTTCTGTTTATTAATTCTATTATAGATTTTAAAATAAAAGCATAGGCTGTTGATTTTATTTATCCAGTTGATGTAATAAATCCAATATTAATATCTTAATAAAATATTTTTATCAATTTATCACAGGCTTCTTTAAATTGTTGTTTATTTTCAAGTTTTTATAATTGCAATAAGATATTTCGAATTGCTTTTTTTATTGCTTTTTCAACATTCATAAGATGTTTAAGAAATGGATCATCATTTGTAAAATCCATCCTTATTTAAGAAATTATTAACATTTATGAATATTCTTTACAATCATTACTTTAGATAAACTCTTATCTTTTTTGCAAACTATCATCCTATTATAATATTATAATAATGATACAAGCATCTTTTAAATTTATGTTTAATCTGGTTATGGAACTACTTAATCAAAATGTCTCTCCTCTTCTGGTACTTCTTCAATCACTTTAAACCCATAAAATTAATCAATAATTGAGTCAATATTTGCTTTTTCACTATTACTATTCATTATAATATTAGTTATATTAAATTGAATAATAATAATATATAATAACAAATAAATTTCAATATATATCCATTAATTAAATAGTGGGTGATAATAATATAATTGAATGGATAAAAAGAATATTGTTATTATACTTGAGATATTCTAATAAACTAAACAAATTTTTGTATGAAAGGTTTCTTAAATTGAATTTAAAATTAAAAACTTTGTTATAAAAAAGCAAATGAAAAAAATTTATTATCTTTTTATAATGAATAATTTTTATATTAATTTCTTTATTTAATATGAGAAAAATAGAAAATTATACCGGAGAATAAGCCAGAGCTTATAAAAAGTTTGCCTAAAAAGCAAAAGGAAGTAGAGCTGATTTTGAAGCAGATTGTATTATTATCATTTTATTTTAAGTAAACTTTAATGAGGCTCCAAGTAAATTTGTTAAATCGAATGAATCAAAATAGACATTGAAATCAATTAAAGATTAAATAGATTATTTTGGATATGAGATTGAACCATTTAATATGAAGAATGAAAGAGATGTTGGAAAGTTTGATGATGGTGGATATTTTGTATTCGATAAAGCTAAAGATAAATCAGTAAAGTATTAATCATTTTACATTAGTGATGCTTGGTTAGATTAATTAGATTAAAGTAACATGTTTTAAGAGTTACAAGAAAAAGCATAAGCAGAAAACTCAAAAAAAATATAGAAACAATTAAAAGAAGCTAATAAGAATTATGAAAGAAGGATGTAGAAAATAAGGGGAGATGGTTTTTTTAGTTCAACAAAATTTACATCAAAAGCAGAAGCTGAAGAATTCTATAAGAATAAATAATAAAAAAATGAAGAAGAAGAGGTAGAAGTGGAAGTAGAAGCTAATTAATAAGTAGAAGAAAAAGAAAAAGAATAATAAGTAATTTAACCAGAAGAATAAGAAGTTAAATTAGAAAAGTTAGGAATTGATTAATTAAAAGAAATTCTTTATGAACTTCTTGAAGAAAATGAGAATGCAAATTAGGCAATGAAAAGAGTTAGATAAAAATTAGCTAATAATCAAAAGAAAGTGTTTAAAAAAAATGTTAGGAAAGATAATAGTCAATAAAATGATAATTAAAATTAGAAGGTTTAAGAAAATAATAATGAAGCCAAAGATGAAGCAAAATAAACATTAGATATTTTGGTTGATATCTGTACAATAATAGTAAAAAAAAGTAATGATCCTTCTATTTATAACATAAAAAAAGAAGAATTAATACCTTAAAAGGTGTCTCGTTTAGAAGAAGATGATATATTTTGAAGATTAATTTTAGTATAATTTTTTTATATTTTATATAAAATGAGTTAGAATATTGATTAATTTTTGAAATTTTTCGTATTTGAAGGAGCACTAAGTTTAAATAAAATACTAAACTTAAAATAACTTCAGTTCGCAAATCCCAGACTCATTAAAAGATAATAACCAAACCATTTTGAATTAGCTGAATTAAATAAGAAATCTAAATTAATATCAGAAAATGTATAATGATTTTATAATAAGGCTTTTGATATAGTTTCAGAATTTTATATCTTATTAAAGCAATGTAAATTTGAAAATGTGAGTACTAAAATAATATTCAATTATATGTTAAGTTTACAGTTAAAAAGAAATTATATAGATTGTCTTCATTTAAACACAACTGACAAGAATTATATTATATGTGTTGATATTATTCCAGAATACAAAGAATAAATTATTAGATAAATGTATAGTTTTGTTAATTGGGTTGTACTTTATTAAAAAGGATAGACTACTTATGGTGAATTTAAAACAGAATACTAAGATTATGCTCATATTCAAATCTTTGAAAACTAAAAGAAATTAATTTTAGTGATTGGATATAATAAATTAGAAACTGAACTATTTTTATCCATAAACTTAGTAAGAAACTAAAATTATATGAGAAATAATTTATCATTATTAAATATACCTGAATATAGATAGGATACATTTTGTTCAATTTTATATCATTTTGTAACTATTATCAGAAAAATGTTAAGATTTGCTGATACAAAAAGATATGATTCTGAATTAAGATAACTTATTTCTGCTAATGCTTCCATTTTGATAGAACATCCAGAAAAATAAAAACATATTCCATATTTAGGATCATTCAATCATTGTGATTTTGTGCTCTTTGATTTTAAGTTAACAAATTAATATGAATTTGATAAAAGACTTAAAAATTTCTAGTATTAAAAAGAATTAATAATATCCATTATTGGAAATCTAAAGACACTTTATGTTAAATCTAAAGATGATATGTCATATTGTTTTGTACTTTCTGGATAATATTTACTTGTAACATTTTAGTATAATATTGATGGAGCAATTTTATTGAAAGAAGAAGAATAAAGAAACAAATTAATTGCAGAATGCTATGAATTTGTGGAATAAGATTTCGATTATGGAATAAAGAAAATTATAATAACAAACCAAGAAAAAAATCAAAAAAAAGAAGAAACTTTGAAATCATAAAGAAATTAAAAGATAGCTGATTTAATAACAACATCTGTTAATACTGCATTCTCATGGTATGATTATGCCAAATCAGTTAATTTAATTAATAAATAACAACAAACAACCAACAAATCCCTTACTCCAAGAAGATAATGAATTATTATTTTATTATAATTTTCTATAAATCTATCCTTATATCAATCAAATAAGAATCTTTTTTTACCTATTTTAGCTTAACATGCAGGACAGAAATGAACTGCATCTTTGCAATCTTATACAAAACATGGAATCAAACAACATCTAATTATTAAATTTAAAAATTACCCTAACCAAAGACCAACAGCTGCCAAAAGTCCTCCAAGTGCATAAGCTCCAGTTCCGACTTCATAATTAACCTGTGTTTAAACTTATCTCTAACAGTAAGCACATGTAATTATGTGAGGGTATTTAGAATAAACTGGTTGGACTTTAAATAACTTTAAAAAAATACTTTACTATATAGCAGTGGGATTGTAAATAACTTATTATTATTATTATAATTAGGGATGTTGTTATTATTAGTAGGGTATCTATCTAATAAATTATTGAGCTGGAACTATTGGTTAAATAGGCTAACCAATTTACAAGTTCTATTCAGGAAGTTATGGATACACAACTTGTGAAACAGGTCCTTCACAAGGAGTAGGATTAATTTCTTATGCAAGTCT